AGGATTGCCAGTGGAATAAAGGACTGAGCACCTGAACATGTATTATGTGTAAAAAAGAGAGTTGCTTGCATACCCTCTTCTATTTACTCACTGAAGATACAGCTGCCTTGTCCATTTTTTCAACTGTCAACCATAGACCCATGTTATCCGATATGGATCCAAGTAAGAGGGGTTTGCAGTCAAAAAATAATGTTAGAGAAGAGCAGATGAATATTTCTGCATAAGAATAATGCATTTTCCACTTGGAAATGATAAGCTGTCAAATCAATATCCGTGTTGATATGGAAATAATTGCTAACATAAGGGCTAAGAGATAAGGAACTATTTTTAAATAAGCAATGCATGGAAGTGGAAGAAGACAACAGAATAGGAAGGACAAGAGACCTCTTCCAGAAAATTAGAAACATTGGAGGTAAATTTCAGGCAAAAATTGGTATGATAAGAAACAAAGATGGCAGGGACCTAACAGAAGCTGAAGAGATCAAGAGAAGGTGGCGAGACTATACAGAAGATCTGTATAGGAAGGATAATAATATTGAGGATAGTTTGACGGTGTGGTGAATGAATTAGAACCAGACATCCCGAGGAGTGAGGTTGAATGGGCCTTAAGAAGCATTGCTAACAACAAGGCAGCAGGAGACGACGGGATCCCAGCTGAACTGTTTAAAATCTTAAAAGATGATGCTGTCAAGGTGATGCATGCCATTTGCCAGCAAATATGGAAAACACAAGAATGGCCATCAGACTGGAAAAAATCAACTTATATCCCCATACCAAAAAAGGGAAATGCGAAAGACTGCTCAAACTTCCGTACAGTGGCCCTTATTTCTCATGACAGTAAGGTAATGCTCAAGATCCTGCAAGGAAGACTCCAGCAATACATGGAGCGAGAGTTGCCAGATGTTCAAGCTGGGTTTAGAAAAGGCAGAGGAATGAGAGACCAAATTGCCAATATCTGCTGGATAATGGAGAAAGGCAGGGAGTTTCAGAAAAACATCTACTTCTGTTTCATTGACTACTCTAAAGCCTTTGACTGTGTGGATCATAATAAATTGTGGCAAGTTCTTGGGGAGATGGGCATCCCAAGCCACCTTGTCTCTCTCCTGAGGAATCTGTACAAGGACCAAGTAGCAACAGTCAGAACTGACCACGGAACAACAGACTAGTTCAAGATTGGGAAAGGCGTACGGCAAGGCTGCATCCTCTCACCCAACCTTTTTAACTTGTATGCAGAACACATCATGCGATGTGCGGGGCTGGATGAATGCAAAGCTGGGGTGAAAATTGCTGGAAGAAACATTAACAACCTCAGATATGCAGATGACACCACTCTGATGGCCGAAAGCGAGGGGGAGCTGAGGAGCCTTCTAATCAAGGTGAAAGAAGAAAGCGCAAAAGCCGGGTTGCAGCTAAACGTCAAAAAAACCAAGATTATGGCAACAAGAATGATTGACAACTGGAAAATAGAGGGAGAAACCGTGGAGGCCGTGACAGACTTTGTATTTCTAGGTGCAAAGATTACTGCAGATGCAGACTGTAGCCAGGAAATCAGAAGACGCTTACTTCTTGGGAGGAGAGCAATGTCCAGTCTCGTTAAAATAGTAAAGAGTAGAGACATCAGACTGGCAACAAAGATCCGCCTAGTCAAAGCCATGGTATTCCCTGTAGTAACCTACGGATGTGAGAGCTGGACCTTAGGGAAGGCTGAGCGAAGGAAGATCGATGCTTTTGAGCTGTGGTGTTGGAGGAAAGTTCTGAGAATGCCTTGGACTGCGAGAAGATCCAACCAGTCCATCCTCCAGGAAATAAAGCCCGACTGCTCACTGGAGGGAAAGATACTAGAGACAAAGTTGAAGTACTTTGGCCACATCATGAGGAGACAGGAAAGCCTAGAGAAGACAATTATGCTGGGGAAATTGGAGGCAAAAGGAAGAGGGGCGACCAAGGGCAAGATGGATGGATGGCATCCTTGAAGTGACTGGACTGACCTTGAAGGAGCTGGGGGTGGTAACGGCCGACAGGGAGCTCTGGCGTGGGCTGGTCCATGAGGTCACGAAGAGTCGGAGACGACTGAACGAATGAACAACAACATAAGGGCTAAATGTCAACGTCATCACACATTAGGAATAATTCAGTGAACATTATTTGATTCTGCCTGAAATCGTTGCTTACAAACATGATGGTTGTGAAAAACCAAAACCCTTATTTTTCAAGAACTCCCTTAAATGACTCTATCCTTATGGAGTATGAGCCTATTGGGGTAAGGTGGAGGTTCCCGTCTTGGCCCTCCCTCAGTTGTCACAACACCTGCCTATCCACTCATAATTGTCCTAAACATTAAGAAGAATTTATGGTAAGAGTTGTTTGGGAGTGGAATATGCTGCCTCAGAGCCTGGTAGAGTCTCCTTCTCTGGAGATTTTAAAGCAGTGGCTGGATTGCCATCTGTCAGGAATACAGATGGCATGCAGAGGTTTGGACTGGATGGTTTTTGTGGTGTCTTTCAACTCTGTGATTCTATATGTGTGTTAGGCTTCTTATAGGAGTTAAACTCCTGAGGTTCTAAAGCACACCTGGTCCTCGCTGCCATATACCTTCTGCTCCAGTACATGGGCAGTGATGGGTGTCACTAAAAGGGAAATTGATCCCTTTTGAATTGTACAGTTCTTGTTAGTACAGTTCTTCCTGCCTCATCATCCATCCATAACTCCACAATTTGACAATGACAAAGCATGCAGTTCCTCTGTATTTGAGTTCATTAGCCAACCTATGCCTTTTTGCTACTCCTTTGAGTTCTTAAAATTTAAATAGATATGATTGAACTCTGCTATCATATAATATGCAAACTCAAATAACTGCAGGCTTTTAAACATGAAAAATCCCAGTTTGTTGGATGTAATTTCCATTATAAGGTAAAGTAAGCAACTCATCACAGGAAAAAAGGAATAAGACAGGTATTTTTCTTTTGTTGGTTTTAAGAAATGCAGTCCTTCTGAGACATTGTGAAAATACATTTCCTCAAATATCTGAGTATTGATCCTGCTTAGCTGGTTTTTTTATAGTTAAAAATCAATAAGACTTGGGAACTGAAGGCTAAGACACAACGCAAAGCAAATGTCAGTCCTAGAAGACCAACATTGGCAACTACTGCTATAAAGTGGAAAAATACTAAGGATCTCATCAGATGCTGGTGTCTTCCCATTTCCACACATTTGTAATCCATTTCAAGGACGACCTGCAATAGAGCCCATCAAATGATGTTTTGCGACTTCCAGAAAGGAGTCATCCGTTGACTTCTGTCCTTGAAATAGTCTTGAATTGTATTGAAAGGGGGGAGAAGAGGAAACAGAGAGAAAATGTCTTCTTAGCCCCCAATGCACTCAAAAATGGAAGTACTCAAAAACATGTGGGATGGGGATATGTCAGTTTTGCCAGTTGCATTTCATTTCAGTGATATGAAGTGGTGGTCGTTCCCATGAGCAGTATTTTTGAGAGCACTGACATGCTGATCCTTTTTTATGTCACTGAAATAAATTGCACACTAGAAAGCTGTCAGTACTTTGATGTAGCTGTGTTCCAGGATTTCGAAGGTTTTCACACTTTAAAAAAAGAATACAGAGTGGGCAGGGAAATATTTTGCCCATGTGGTGGATCCAAATATGGAGAAGTACAGGGGAAAGACTGGGGAACCTCTGTGTGTGATAGGAGCTGTAAAAATGAAACAGTCCTTTCTGAGATGAAGCACTATGATTTCCTGTGCTGTGGAGACTATTCCAACCACTTCCCTCCGCTCATGTGATAAGGTCCTAAGAAGCCTAGGCACATACATAGTACTTGCCCACTTTGGCCCCAAATCAGTGTGTCAGAAGCAACTCATGATGAGCTCTTTCACAGTTCACAAATATTGTTTTATTTGAAGGACATCCTTTTATATTTCAGATTTTATTTTTATTCTCTGTAGTGATTTGACTTCCAAGCATCTGGTTCTGTGAATTCTAGCTTTTCAAAATTTGAAAAAGATAGTCATGGGGAACTATATTTTATGTTTCATGAAATCCTATGCCAGCACCACATTTACTCAAATTAAAAGCCAGGGTGCACTGGATAATATTTATTTACAAAAACATATAGCCTTCAGTGTATCTATATTGACCTGGCACCAATTAAAAACAAAGCATCCACCCTTTTTATATTTCAGTCATCCAGAAAAATATTACAATTCAACTGGATAACCAGGAGAATAGATCTGAATAACATGATTTGTCATTGCATGCTACCCATAGGCCCTCTTCAACATTTCTAACAAAGGTCAGCATAAAAAATGATAGTGTGGTAAAGGACCAAAAGAGATAAAAGTTAGCACGTGAAACAGATGCAGTTTGGTAACAGACTGTATTTAATGCTGATAATTCAGAAAGCCGGGGAGAATTGGTTTATGTCTTTGGGGGAAGTTATGTCTTTTGAAATTTAGACAATATGATAGGCCCTTGATGCCCACTAGGGTTTGATTCTATGACCCACTGGGGATACCAAAATCTGTGGATGCTCATTATATACAATGGCAAACTAAAATGGTGTCCCTTATATAAAATGGCAGAATGAAGGCTTGCCTTTTGGAAATTATTTCATAATATTTCAAGATGTGGATGGTTGAATCTATGGATACAAAGGCCGTTGACATGGAGGGCTGATTGCATATAATTTCCTTTGAGCACATCTCTTTAATCTTGATATATCATATGCACCTTCATCAATATATTCAGTCAGGAAAGTGCATGCATCTCTCCCAGTTTTGAATCAGTAGAGCAAACTAGATCTCCCAGTGTCAACCATTATACTTAGCAGATTAATAATAAGGGTAGTAAAAAACAAAACAAAATCAATCTATAACTCAGCATTAACAAACCTAGGAAGGCAGTCAGAAATCAAAGCTCTTTGTTCAGTGGATCATTCCATTTTCTTCTCCCTGGCTGCAACTCTGTTTATGATCTTCTTTCCGCAGGCTGGGATGGCTTCCCCCGAGAATTCTGAACAATTAATTATTGCTTTAGAACCAGAAGCGGCTTCAATCTACTGCAGGAAACTACGCCTTCATCAGATGATAGACTTGGGCAGCAGAGGACCCGTCAATGGTTATAACCCAAGTGAGACCATTGGCACTGGCTTTACACCAGGTACAAGGCATCTCATCATTCTTGCACTCAGTGTTCAGGCTGTTTCTGTATGTGTCGTCTCTCTTTCTTGTCAAAATTATTTTCAGCAAGATGTCTTGAAAACATGGGGATCAGTTTAAGTAATATGACAATAAATAAGTGTATCTTGTATAATCGTCATCTGGTGGTACTCATGGTGGCTTAGCAGATGCTTTGGTAACACCCCAACTCTTGAGTCACAAGCAGCTCTCTGCACGTGTTCTTCTATTTCAGTCATCATCTCTTTAGCAACTAAGAAGGCTGCTCCATATCTGTATCTCCACAAGATCTTTCATCAGAGTGCTGTGAACTCACTTGTAGTAATGTGTCCAAGAATCCTGATAAGATCTATTAATGCAAATGTCCCCTTTTTCTGTTAAAATTAAATGTTTGGGGAAAGACAGGAGTTATTAAATAGATAAGGATTCAAACTGGGACCAAGTCCCACGTTTTGACTGAGTGTGTGGTCTCAGGCAAAACAAAATTCTCTGAAAGCCTCAATTTCCTGTCTGTGAAGTAAGAATAATACTCAATATAGGAAGAACTATAAAATTAAATTGAACCTGTTCCTATGTGACAAATGCTTTATGACTGCAAAATACATGTTATGCAGTTGTCCTTATAGAGCTCTGATATAATCAAATTGGAAACATCTAAGAAATGAGTTATAAACTGCGTTAAACTAATCAATTGTTGTCAGCATTACACAAATATTTTCCTAATTTCTAGCTCTCCAGACTTTGCTCCCTCCACCACCAATAAAACAGACTGCACACAACCTACTTAATGGATTTTGTCCATTTCATATACAACTTAATGTGTCCTGACTTGTTCCCATTATCTCATTACTTCTAGAGTGCATTGCACTGCAGAATTAATGCAGTTTGCCACCACTTTAACTGCCATGGCTCGATACTATGGAATTGTGGGAATTGTAGTTTGGTGAGGCACCAAAACTATTTGACAGAAAAGGCTAGAAAACTTGGAAAACTACAATCCATGGCAGTTAAAGTGTTGTCAAACTGCATTATTTCTACAATGTAGATGCAGCCATATTATCAAATCTGTGGCATGATTCTGTATTATTAATTTCCTTATGAAATACACTTACAACACAGTTCTGTTTGGCTTAGAAATAACTCTCGTTGACTTCAGTGGGGCTTGTTCCCAGGTAAGTGGGTAAAGGATTGCAGCCTTAGAATAATAATTGATTGTATGTGTAATCTTTTATGCAACATCTTCTGGGCAAATCCATTTTATGTGTGTATGAAGTGCTTCAAGATGTAGTTGCTGTTCGAGCATATTTTTTATTACTGGGATGGTTAATATTTTTCTTGACTTATATGTGTTTGTTTGTGTATGCAGGATAAGGCAGTCCTTTCCTTCAAAGAAATGTCTGTAACAGATTCCATATGTCCAGCTCTGTAGAGTAGCAATGAAAATAAATAAAGTATCTGAAGGTGAAGACTTATTAGAATCCGTTCTCAAAGATTTGTCATGGAGATATTCAGTATGAGACTAATTTTCAGGAATTCTCCAAGTCTTTTCCTTGTCAACATTAATCTTTGGTGGGAGAGGGGATACTGTAGCCCAGCAGTAGATTGTGTGTTTGTTTGTTTTCCCTGCAGAAGTTCCCAGCTTCACTCTGTGGCATCTGTAGTTAGAAGGATCAAATTGCAAGTGATGGAGAGAGAAAGAAATCCTCAGCTCTTGAGTTCCCAGAGAGCCTCTGCTAGAGCTTGGAGGAGAAATTGTCTGACCCAGTCAGCCCCCTATATTCCTAATTCTTTGTGAAATAAATAACCTTCCATGTCATCCTAGAATATTTATTTCAGTATCAGTACAAATCCAATGCCATCCCTTCTTAATGCAATTTTATTTTACTTTAGATTCTCTACCAACTGTGCCCTCTGCTGGCAAAACAGGAATATTATATCCTTCTGGTAAAGCTCTCACTATGTTCATGTAATATTAACAGCCTCTAGTAGATCCCTTTGGAAATCTATTCTTATCAAAAGAATTAATGGAATATTTACCAATTATGGTTGGAAGGTTTATTAGTGCTATAACTAAACAAAATGACGATTACCCAACTTTCCATTTTCTTGCATTTGCTTCCTGCTGTGTGTGTATATATTCTGTTTGCTCATGCCTTCTGATAGCCACTTTCTCTCCTTCGCCCAATAGCTAAAGAACACATTCGACGTAACCGGCAGAGCCGCACTTTTTTGGTTGAAAATGTCATAGGAGAGATCTGGTCAGAGTTGGAAGAAGGTAATGCCCTTTCCTTTGCTCCAGCTGGTTTCCACTTCGTGAGAACTAGGGCCTTTCCTGCTAGACAGCTCTGTCAGAGCAGCTGTAGCCTGAAGGCACATTTTGGTCCTGCTGTTTTGGTGGCCTTAGGTTTTGGAAGGTCACCCCCTGTCAACATACAAAAATGAAACAAAACAAAATCCCACCACAAAGCAAAACTAGAAAGCGTGATTAAGCAATTTGCTTCCAAGAAATGAAGATAAATATTTTAAAGCAACCTTGCAAATGCATGTACAAACAGAATCTCTGCTCTACTTGCCAAACTCTTCTTCTTCCTTGCCACTTACTCTCTGTTGTCAGCCCCACATCCTGATCCCCTTTGTTTGCATTCTTGTGATGCATTATAGGCAGCAATGCATCAATGTCTTTGAAAGTGGTACAGACATGTCTACTGATCTGGAATGGGGCAGCGAGATTGTTAATAGGCACTGGCTGAAACAGCCACATTATATTTTATGTTTTGCATTGGCTTCCAGTCCACTTCCAGGACCCGTTCAAAATACTGGTGGTAAGTTTTGATTCTCTAAGGGCTCTATTGACTGCCGACAAGTTTCTGGACCCAGTGCAAAGAGCAGGTTATTGCCTATAAAGCCCTACACCAGTGGTTCTCAACCTGTGGCTCCTCAGATGTTTTGGCCTTCAAGTCCCAGCTGGTAAACTGGCTGGGATTTCTGGGAGTTGTAGGCCAAAACATCTGGGGACCTACAGGTTGAGAATCACTGCCCTATACGCTTCAGGTCCAGCCTGTCTTCGAGATCGCATCTCTTTCTATGAACCAACACAGGCTCTAAGATCTGCTGGGGAGGCCCTTCTCTCGGTCCCACCTCTGTCTCAAGTATGGTTGGTGGGGATGAGAAAGAGGTGGTGGGCTTTGGAATTTCCTCCCCAAAGAGATTAGGGTAGCCCCCACTCTCCAAGTTTTTCAGAAACAACAGAAAACATGGCCTGTTACACAAGTTTTTACTATATTTAGGGATTATGAATAACTATATTTGTAAACTTAGTGAGTGGTCACTGTTGCACTTTACAAGGATGAATATTGCTCATGGCCATTATTTTATAGCTTGTTGGGTTTTTTAGTATTTTTAATGGGGGTTTTATTGTTGTTTTATGTGTAATGGAATTAATATTGTTATTAATGTAACCTTTTTATATTTTGTTGTATATGTATTTTGTGGCACTACTGAGTGCATCCTGTGAACTGCCCCAAGTCCCTCTGGGGAGATGGTGGTGGGATACAAATAAAGATTATTATTATTATTATTATTATTATTATTATTATTATTATTATTATTATTTTGCAAAAGCTAACATCCTGCCATATATTATTACCTGCATTTTGATACTGTTAATGTTTGAACTAAAACTTGAGGGTGGATTAACCACAATGCTGTTCATGGAAGCCCCTGGATTTGGAGAGACGTTTGGGGAACGGCACCCCAATTATGAAATGACTGCATTAAATGGGCTCAACGCATGGACAATAGGATCTCCTCAGCAGTGGGTCAAGATATTTTCACTTTCCTAACATTATAAATAATCCAATTTAGATATTGGAACAAATTGATTCTTTCCTTCACTGAGCCTGGCTCTGCATTGTCGAATTCGTGCAGTTTGACACCACTTTAACTTTTCATGGCTCAATGCTATAGGATCCTGAGATTGGTAGTTTGGTGAAGCATCAGCGCTCTTGGGCAGAGAAATCGTAAAACTTTGCACACTACTGATCCCAGCATTCAATAGTATTGAGCCATGTTAAAATGTTAAGGCTGCATTAATTCTACAGTGTAGATGCACCCTGAGTTTCAGAACTGAGTTTATGCTGCTCTGTGATGATTTTATGGTTGATTTTGAAGAACAAGATTCTTTGAAATGGTATAGAAAAAGCATAAACAATCAAGCAGGAGTCCTTTCAAATGCAGAAGAGAAAGAAAAGGTATGGATGGATGCCATTGCTACATTTTGTTCCACATGCTGGAAATTGCAACAACATTCCTACCAGCTTTAAAGATGTAAAGAATCAGATGTGACCCAGGGCCCTTCCACCCAGCCCTATATCCCAGAATATCAAGGTAGAAAATCCCACATTATCTGAGTGTGGACTAAGATAATCCAGTTCAAAGCACATATTGTGGGATTTTCTGCCTTGATATTCTGGGATATAGGACTGGGTGGAAAGGCCCAAAATCTGCAGGTAGAAATGTTGGAACAACATTATCTCTGAAGAAACACAATATTTGATTTGATACTAATACAAGCTGTACTTTCCTATTACTGTTGTACTAACAGGAGACCGTTACATAGTTGTTGACAGTGGAGGAGGAACAGTTGATGTGACTGTCCATCAGATCAGATTACCTGAAGGACACCTGAAGGAACTCTACAAGGCAACAGGTAGAGTGTCATTCCTCACTGCCTTGATTATAGTCAGCCCTCCACATTTGCTGGAATTTGCTGGAATTGGGAGCACAGGATCCCTGTGAAAGTGAAAAAAAAGTGAATAAATAAATTCCCTTTTCTACTCAAGAGAACTAGGATTTTCTGTCTTCTAGCATGACTCTGTGATTGACTTATAGAATTGTACTGAAGGACCTTTCAATTCTTAGAGTGAAGTAATCTCTAAAATTCTCTAGGTTTTCCAATGTGACTGGAAGAAATTGACCATAGAGTCACACTGAAGGACCTAAATATTCCTAGAGATAATATTTTAATCAGGTCTGTAAATATTCAGATCCACAAATGTCAAAACTACAAATGTGGAGGGACAACTGTACTCTGTCCTGGGCCTCTTGTTGCCTATTATCATTATATTCTAGGTTGTTATAGTTATTTTTTCTGCCTCTCCCTGTGGAATGGTATGGGGAACAACACCAAATAGTTCAGCACAAATGAAACCATAAATGCGGTTTACAAATATAAAACATACAAAATGCATATAAAACCAATGCATATTAAGTAAAAGGTAAAGGTTTCCCCTAACATTAAGTCTCGTCATGTCCAACTCTGGGGGGTGGTGCTCATTTCCATTTCTAAGCCGAAGAGCTGGCATTGTTCATAGACGCCTCCAAGGTCATGTAACCGGCATGACTGCATGGAGCACTGTTACATTGCCACTGAGGCGGTACCTATTGATCTACTCACATTTGCATGTTTTCGAACAACAAGGTTGGGCCTAACAGCAGGAGATCATCCCGCTCCCCAAATTTGAATCGACAACCTTTTGGTCAGCAAGTTGAGCAGCTCAGCAGTTTCACCACTGCGCAACCAGGAGACATGCATATTAAAATTTACCAATAAATACTTTAAAATCACAATTTTAAAATAGTTTGGATAGGCGTGCTAGAAGAATCTTTTCCAGCAGGTCATTCCACAGTCTGGAAGTGTGTGAAGAAAGTTCTCTTTTGGTAACAGCCTAGTTTGATTAACAGAAGTAGAAGTTTCCAATAGTACCCGAGTTATGGAGTGGATTATATGGATTAAAGTCTTCTGTGAGGTAACCTAATCCAAATCATGCAGGAGTGGATTATATGGTACTTTGCCCAGAAACAAATTGGCAACTAGTAGAGTGTTTTTAATATTGGGGCAATATGGCAATTCATAGCTGTACCACTAACTAACCTGTTTGCTGTGTTTTGAACTAATTAAAGTTTGCAAACACAAAAATGCCCTTAGAAGCACTTTATTTTCTGGTTTGTGCAATTGGATCCTACCTTATCCCCCGGATTCCCTTCCTGATATATAACACTGCCTTATCTCCCAGTGTTTTAAAATTTTTAATCTTGAATCTGGCCCTACCCATTGTGATCATGTTAGAGTTTAATGTTTTGTTTACATTGCTGTGTTGTTTATTTATATTGGTTTGGTATTTTATGTTATTTTATTTTCTGATTTTTTGTATTGTTTCTTGTGTTATATTGTGTAACTGTATTGATGGGCGTGGCCTCCTGTAAGCCGCCCCAACACTCGGGGAGATGGTGGCGGGGTATAAATAAATTATTATTATTATTATTATTATTATTATTATTATTATTGTTATTATCATTATATAATTAGCCCAATGTTCAGCCCATTGCAGAAATCTAGCCTTGAGGCTAGTATTGCATACATGGCCTGTTGTTGTTGTTATATGCCGTCTAGTAGTTTCCAACATATGGCAACCCCAGGGTTAATCTATCATAAATCTTGCTATCTATTATTAGCAAGATTTGTTTAGAGAGGGTTCCTCTGAGGCAGAGGCACCTTCTACACTGTCATATAATCCAGTTCAAAGTAGACAGTTTTGATTTTATATAGCAGTGTAGAAGGCGCCTGAGTCAAACTTTGTCAAACAAGCATCTCTGAAATCAAAGGGTTTAAATTTGCCATGACTAATTTAAACCTGGTGGATTTGAATGAATTTGCTTTAAATATGTCACAACTGGGAACCAGACAAGTAGAATTTATTGCTCATTTGAGTAGATCCACCAAAAGTATAATAAAGACATCTGAATTCAACTGAATATGTTTATAATATAATTCTAATATTTAGTTCATATATAAAAATCCTTCAGCAACATTAATGAGAACTTTTGTTTCTAATGCAGGTGGGCCACATGGTTCCTTAGGAGTAGATTATGAATTTGAAAAACTCCTGTGTAAAATATTTGGAGAAGATTTCATTGAGCAATTTAAAATTAAGCGACCTGCTGCCTGGGTTGATCTGATGATAGCCTTTGAATCCCGCAAGAGAGCAGCTGCCCCAGACCGGACAAACCCATTGAACATCACTCTGCCTTTCTCATTCATTGACTACTACAAGAAATTTCGAGGTCACAGTGTGGAACATGCCTTAAGGAAAAGCAAGTAAGTAGAAATTTAACTGAGATATCCATTTACCTGGATGTAAGCACAACTAGACCCAGTGGGACCTACTTTTGAGTACATATGTGTAAGATGGCTTTATAAAAGAATACAGACATTTCTATGTTGCATAAAAGAATACCAGTATTCCTATGTTTTCAAATCACAATAAATTCCCCACAATATGAATACAACTCTGCATTATATTCACTAGACATTCCTTCTGCATGCATGGTTCTCTTCTCCTATTCGCCATTCTCTTACTGTATGAAAATGCTCAATTTATCATGAATTATGCACTGTTTATCTCAGTTTTTGCTAATGTAAGCAGCTTCAAGGTCATACCAAAAAAGATGGGACAACTTTCTAAAGACTTCTTTTCCATCAAGGGTTTTGAAAGAACATCTTCCATTAATAAGTTATAGACATAACATTAACCAGTGGGTGTACAGTAGATGTGTACACTACCAGTTTGACAGCAGTTTAACACCCATGGCTGCATCCCATAGAATACTGTAATCTGTAATTTGATGAAATCCTTGGAATTGTCTGCTCCAGCTTGATTTTTTTAACCTGAGACAATACTACTTCTGAAGTGGATTTCTTCCTGTGTCTCTTTGCAGTGTGGATTTTGTGAAGTGGTCATCACAAGGAATGCTGAGGATGAGCCCAGATGCCATGAATGCACTCTTCAAGCCCACTATTGATGAAATCATAAATCATCTCAGTAAGTATCAAGTCGAAATCAGTGAAAATTCAATATCCATTCATTTTTAAGCAGAATTCATCGGTTTTTGTGAAAATTTGTGTGCTGGAGAAAGCAAAACTAACAGAATTCCACATCAAAAATTATTTTGTGCAAAACCCCATTGTGTTTTGCACTAATATAGTAAAGGTAACAGTTTTCCCTGACATTAATTAAATCTAGTTGTGTCCAACTCTGTGGGGTTGGTTCTCTTCTCCATTTCTAAAAGTGGTGAGGGAGGGGGCATCTTTAACTCCTTAGGAGGGGAGTTCTAGAGGTGGGGGGAAGCCACAGAGAAGCCCTTTCTCTCGCTCCTACCAGCCCTGCTTAGGATGGGGGTGGAACTGAGAGGAGAACCTCCTCCGATGACCGCAGTGTCCAAGTTGGTCTGTAGAGGAAGATGCTTAAAAATGGTTTTAAAATGTTTGAAGATTATCATTAAAATCTTTACTGGTTGGTCTTCCTACAAGGCCACATACGGTCCCCACTTTTCTGACCTATGGATTTCCCCCCTCTATTAAGGTGATCTATTTGAAAAGCCTGAAGTAACTAATGTGAAATTCCTGTTCCTGGTGGGTGGATTTGCTGAAGCTCCACTTCTTCAACAAGCTGTCCAGAATGTCTTTGGTTCCAAGTGTCGAATCATCATTCCGCAAGACGTGGGCCTCACTATCCTGAAAGGAGCAGTGCTTTTTGGACTGGATCCTGCAGTCATCAAAGTGCGCCGTTCCCCCCTGACCTATGGGGTGGGGGTCCTGAATCGTTATGTGGAAGGGAAGCACCCTCCAGAAAAGCTGCTAGTTAAAGACGGCACTCGCTGGTGCACTGATGTCTTTGACAAATTTATCTCTGCTGACCAATCAGTGGCTCTTGGTGAGGCTGTGTCACGCAGTTATACTCCCGCTAAGCCTTCGCAGCTGGTCATCGTGATCAACATCTACAGCTCAGAACATGATAATGTCAGTTTCATCACTGAGCCAGGAGTGAAAAAGTGTGGCACGCTCCGCCTGGATCTCACAGGGACTGATATCAGTGTGCCAAGCCGGAGAGAAATCAAAACACTCATGCAGTTTGGGGACACTGAAATTAAAGCCATGGCAATTGATGTTGCCACCTCGAAAAGTGTCAAAGCTGGTATTGATTTCCTAAACTACTAATTGGCATTCCTCCCTTCCTCACCTCTTGTCATTTCAGTGCTGTTTCCTCATTTTTCATGTGTCGCCAAGTGGACTAGAGTTTTAGCTGGATGGGTAAGGATAGCCGTTGGGAGAAAGTGTCATACATTTTTGTTGTTGTTGTTGTTGTTGAAATTATCTATTTAAGATTCTGAAAATATATGCTTATAAGGTGCTAAATGTGGAAACTGATAACCCCCAAAGGCTAATTACCTAATGAGAATTGGTCATGTAATGTCACTGCTTTTTTGATTAGGAAAATAAAATGCCCTACTCAATGTATTTCATATATTCTGGATTTAGGGCCCCAATTAGCAAAAGTTGGTGTCTCCGGTCTTATATGTACAATTCAAGCTAAATTGGCTAAATCAAAGTGGCCGATGGGCTTATCAATAAAATATGCTAAGGCTAAATCAAATAAATAATCCTAAATAGAGTAGATCCTTTTTTTATTGGTGCATCACTTCAGCAGCCCTAGCAGGTTAAGAGGCAAGGAACACATATTTTTTTAAAAGAATTAAAAACAAATTGAATTGTGTAAGCTTGAGGTTTGGCTTATACTGGCCAGAAACACCAAACTGGGACAAAAGTAATTCCTAAAAGACCCACACAACATCCAGGGAATTCCAGTCTATAATGCAGGGCCACAATGGTTAATCTAGCTATACCCTGCATTAGTAGAAGTCTGGGAATCAACTGGAGTTTCCGCAAAACAATGGAGCAGCTCCATATTTCAGGATTGGTGGGGTCAGCTGAACTGGTTCTAATCCAAATTGGTCTACTATCCAGACAGGCGATTGCCACCATCCCTTTTCCCTGTTGTCTGTGATGCAGGAAAATGAGATGAAATATATCTTTGCTGTTCTTTGTCACAATGGTAGCCAGCCATCCACAGAGCTCCAGGCTGTTGCCAGGTACCTTTGCTGATGTCAGCAAATGGTCTGCAATGGCCTGGAGCTCTGGATCCTGACATCAGCAAAGGTGCACTGAAGCTTTATGGCTGGCTACTGCAGTAACAAAAACAGCAAAAGATGACCACCCAGTAGGGCCAAACCAGTTTCAGTCTGATTGGTCTGGACTCCACTCCCACAGTTTAGTGGCAGAGCATGTAAACAACTCCACAAAATCGGAGTCTGGTCTGAAGCTGCAATGCTTCAGACCAGCCTCGGGTTTTGTGGCTCATGTAGAGCCAACACTTGTATAACTGCCATTGATTAATTAGATTCCCTCCAGATTTAGGCCACTGAAATAGCTTAAAAGAGCATAATGCCATTAGTGCAACACTGCAGTGCTGTTTTTTAAATTTGTATTTTATTTACTGCTGCTGCTGTTGCTACAAGTGGCAAATTATAAGCATTTGATGATTTTTAAACCTCACCTCCCTTATTTGTATATTTAAATTCAACCTAGATTTTAAAACGGAATATTTCATTGTTCATGGTAATACTGAAATGGAAGTTACAGTCCAGTTTTAGACTTTGCCCTTCTGGTTAACAAAGAACACTTGCTTACTGAATATAAGCATAAAAGAAACAATTACTCTAACAAAATTCCAAACCATAAAATATATTTGCTCAGGATTCTACCTGTTTAAGGTCAGTTTAAATAATGAAGCTACCATTACATTTCCAGAACATTTCATAAAGAATAGCCTTTATTTAATTTTGTAGATCCCATACACATGTATCATAGTAGTCAACATCAGAGGAAAGGCATCTCCCCACCTCCAATATGGGAGAAAAGAGGCACTGCTTCTGAACATGGTGTTTGCCAGTCACTGCTAATTAAATATGCGGTCTGATTGAGCACAGATTAATTAGGTGCTGCAGCCCTTGTATTTGCATTTGCTCCTGTTTTATTTATCATTGGAAAGAGGCAATTTTGCAAAAGTCCCAGTAGTGTTTATTGTTTACATTTGAACCTCCTGCAACATGTAGAGTTTGTTTATTATTACCTGTTTCCAAATAGCTCATAAATAATATCCAGTCCTTTTGCAGCACAAAACAAACCAGTATAGTAGTAGAAATCAGCCAGAGTCGGAGAAATCAGATATCTATGAAGAGTGGGATAGAAATACTCTAAATAAGTATATCAGTTTCTGTTCTCAGGTTGGTGAAAGAAAAGGGACATTTTCATTGCTTTCCCTACATATGCCATGTTTAGGGGAAATATTACTGTATTGAAATTTATTGTAAGAAAAGTAACATATTTCATTGGATTGACTTAGTTGATTTCTTGAGGGGGTAATACAAAATCTCACATTATTTAGAATTTTTTAACAGGTGCATGTGCAAATACACAGTGGTTATTAAATCCACAACAATATATCAAACCAATTGCTTGTCTTGAATTTACATTAATAGCATTGTCCTTCCCTTTGTTTGTCCCTTTGATGTAACTGCATATCCAGTGTTGCAGACATGAGTATTCTTCTGATGAGATGTGCCGTTTCTAGCTTTCTCCTCTTGTGTGCCTTCTCATCTCTATGACAAGCTATGTCACTGAGAAGTTCAAACTGGATGTCTATATACATTGCCAACTGACAAGGAAAGAACAGCAGACCAACATTAAGCCATGTTGTGTCTCACCAGAAGAGGGAGCAAAGACATCAGCTCTGGGTACTATTTGAAAGGCTTCCAAGAGGCCAGACAGGCAATTCCAAACATCAAGAGAATAAGAAACCTGTGTTTGAGTGCTGCCAGCTTCAGAATGATCAAATCTGATCTCTTCAGGGTTGAATTAGAATAGCTAGGCACCCAATGACACAAGCACATATGTAGACAAGTGTGTGCATATGTATATGCAAGCAATTTCAACTATATCAGGATGAAGCTCCTGGTTTCCCTGGAGTGACATATTATCTACCACAATTCACTTATATGATGCACCCCAGACAAATTCACCAAATGTAATTGGGATAGCTTGATAGCAACTCAGTTCTTCTCTTGGTTGGAAGGTCATTCTGGATTCATAATAGATAGTCCAATACTGTGTCATTTGAAGCTATATAAGGCTGCAGGTGCATTGCGAATGTCAGGAACATTATATTTGAAGCCAGAAACACATACACACACTAGACCAGAAATATCTGCTGTTACTGGCTGGAAAAAGCTAACACTTTTCAAAATAGTTGGAGAAAACCCATTGTCACCCATTAAAATTCATTGTTCTTTCAAGAACCCAGAAGAGTAATTGTTTAGTTGAATGCTTTTCCTATTAGCTATGTATGAGTGAAAAGCCATAGACTCCCTTTATTTTTTAAAAAAAGTAAAATCTCAATCCTCTATCACATAAATATTTTAAGCATCTGGTACACATTGTGTAAACATTTTCCATTCTCAATAGAGAATTTCAGAAGGTAGGTCCTTTGCATTATATCCATTATATCGTTCCCTGATAGAATGTGAAAATGCTTTGCTGGATTAACTTTCAGAAGGAAGGACTGGATCATTAGAAAGACAGTATCTCACTTGCTGTTGCTTGAATAATTATTCTACTGGAATAATTAAAAAGTGCATGCTGGCTCTCTCTTCTTCTTTGATCCTGCCCATTGCGTCCTTCCAGGCAAATACTTAATTTGGTTTTCTAGCTCAGTTAGTATGTGGCCTTCCATAGTTTACAAATCAGCCACTCTGTAGGATGGGCTATGAACAAACTCATTTGATGTATATATATAATATTTAAATAATGTACAGATGCTTTGTTTCAGAAGTGCTATTTTCTTGTACAGAATGGTCTTTATGTCTGTTGATTTGCATTCAGTGGTTAATTTTAAATAACATAGTTTCTCCGTCCGCTTCATTAATTATAGGCTTTTGAAGTTGGCAAGATATGTAATGCACAAAGCTGATCTTATTATAATAAGGGGAGGGGAGTGTCAGAATGCCAGACAATACCACATTCTTCTTCTTGCTATGCAAATAATAGCATGCAGACACACTGCTGGGGCTTAATTCTTTTCTTTCTCTCTCTCTTTTACTGTTAATTCACAATACTATTTGAAGGAATGCTTTGGAGTAGGTCACTCTGCAGATTGTCCCCCATTCTGTTTGGAAACTAGGTGCTCATTTCCACATTTTTTACACCAAATGAACTCCAGTTTCAAGGCACATGTTTTATTTCTCATTCAGTCAGGTCTTCACTTTTATGGATCTGATTATTCATGGATTTGACTAATATGCTTTCTCTAGAAATCCCTAGGTCCTTAAGCATTACTCTGTGGTCAACATCCATCACAGAGTTGATTGAAAGACCTAGAGAAAACATTCCTCTAGCCATGTGTAGGCCTCCAATTTGATTCCATCTGGAAGAAGCTGATCATAGAATTGCATTGGAGGACCTAAATATTTCTAAAGAGGTGTTATCTCAGTTAATAGTATTTTTTTTATTTGCCATTTTCCCACCTTTGCAGTAGTCCTGCACTCCAAACCCCATGAAAGTAGAGGCTGACATTATATCTCTTTATCACTTCACAAGACTATATGGCAACAGCCACACATAGGTCACTCACCAGAAACTGCCTACAAACATGTTGCCTTTTGTTGTCTAATCATTAATACATAAATAGGGACTGTCACTATGTGTGTTTAGTGAGTGGCAGCACATACATGCGTATATTCCCTAAAACTACAAATCTCACGACAACCTAAAAAGACATCAACACAAATGTCTTGGTGTGAAATCACATGACAGTGAAGATTTCAATAAGAAACTTTTAGACTGGCATATGCCATAGAATCTTTTTTCCAAATCTTATGATTGCTGCTACTCAGAAATCATAGGGGCATATTGTAAATTTGGATTGCAATAGGTGTTTGATTCCTGACTAACCCAGGAATCATACATTATACAAGTGTATCTCAGCATGCAGCATACTTTGGACAGGAGGTCCTTCACAGTTTATGTAGGGCCAAATTATAATAAAATGCTATACATATCTATACAAATGCTGCTGAGTTTTGTAGGGCTTACTCCCGGGTAAGTAAACATTGGACTTGTAGCCTTGATTGGTTTTGCAATCCTAGTGGGTCTGTAAAGCGACCATTTTCCAGATGATTAAGAATAGGTTTCCTATTGTCGGAATTCCTAAGCAATTACAACCCGTGGTGGAAAAGTCCCTTCTTCTTAAAAATCTTACACACAAACCTGACCACCACAAAGCCAATGCAGCAATTTATTTTTATTAGGGAGCTTTTCCCATTCTCCAGTTCTAGTTCAACATTCAAGCCATCATATCACACTGACTCTTTATGGATGGTGATGTCCACTTCCATTTCTGGTGGAAACAGCAGATTCCAGCAGAATAATATGATTAGATCTTGGCCTTTATTTATTATCTTTTAGAGTGGGACAGACATTTCTTACCTTTTAGAGTGGGCAATTAACTGCCATCATTTCTTTGCTTGCCCATTCCCTCCTTGGGCAAAACAGACTACTGTCCCCCTGGGAACCAATGAATTGTGCTGTTATATGATCTTTCTTAACTGTTTTTCACTTTCTGGTGAGAAGCAGCCGTGAGAACATACAGGAGGATTCCAAATGGTGGAAAGCAACAATATTTGGAAATCCTCCCAACAACGTCCTGCATGAGAGGCATGGCAAATATACATTTGGAAACACTCTTTCACTTCATATCTAGAATAAGCTGCCTCAGCTAGTTCTACTCCCATTATCCCAAAGGTTGATTGGAATCACCAATTTTCCATTTAGGTCATATGTGCAAACCCTTAGCATTAAAAAAGACTTTGTTGACAAAAGCATATATAATACGTTTAATATGGGATGTGGGATATTTCTCACATAAAAGTTATGTGTTTTTTCACATGAGAGTGTTTATACTCTCACTGATACTAATCCATTCCTTTAGTATATATATATGGGATGTTTCCTCCCAGTCATTTGAAGCATGATCCCACTATTTAGTACGAAAGAACACTATAAAGTAAATATTACACCCTTTAATATGTATCTTCTCTAAGCAAACATATATGTAAGCATTTTATATAGAATCTCAAGGGGGTTGGGATGGATGGCCGTTGTGGTCTCTTCCAACTCTATGGTTCTATGATCCTATATTCCAGTGGTTCTCACCCTGTGGGTCCCCAGGTGTTTTGGCCCACAATTCCCAGAAATCCAAACCAGTTTACCAGCTGTTAGGATTTTTGGGAGTTGAAGGCCAAAATATCTGGAGACCCACAGGTTGAGGACCACTGAAATATTCATAAATCCTGTATTCTTTGAATGGCTAATAAAAATAGGCATAATTCCAGGCTGGAAACACAGTTTTTCAGTACTGGATTAAATGGTCTAAATTATTTTAAAACCATTGAGTTAAAGTTTATTTCCTATCACAAAAAGAAAATCTTTAATTAATGCTAAGGTTTAGATTCCATTTTGATAGGAATATAATGATATTAAGTTTGCTAAAATGAGTGTTTTGCCCAACAGTGCAGTAATGTATATGGGAAAGATAAAACTTCCTTCTGGAGGGAGGCATGTGAGTTTTTGATCTGATGCATTCTTCTCTGTGTAATTCATTTGTGGTGCCTGTAGCCAATGAAGGGAGATGACTCCTGGATTGCTGCAGCTCTTCATAAATACACAATGCAGCTTACAAACATTTCAGCCTATACTCTTGCCAAAGGAATCCCACTGGACAAGTATATGAAACCAGGGAAATTGCAAATATGTTTGCTCAAGTACTGTGGGCCATACCTGCTGAACACAGGCTGATTCGTTGTTTTGTGTAGTATGTATTTAAATATAACCCAACTTCAGTAATTATTTTTAATACTGCTGTACTGTGTTTGCTATTATTGTGAGATGCATTTTTTTAAACCCCTTCAGCCCTAAAATCGAGTATATTTTCGCTGGATGTGCTTTCCACTATCCTCAGCCCTCCTCACAAATCATAGCAGATCTAGATTATGTGTCTAATGGAACTTTTTTAGAAATAGGATGTGATGCTGTGGCTACATGCTTTTGTATGGAGCCCTATGTTATATTGAAAAATAAGTGGCTGACGAATGCTCACTTATATATAGAATTTACTCCTGTGTTATTTAAACTGGTAGAAATAATTCAGACCAGGAAACAGGGGTTGTCATGGAGTAGAAGTTTAGGTTTTATGCTCTGCAGGTTTCAGTCAAGAGAATCTTAAGGGAAGGGTTTTTTCCAATGCCTTGTTAAACAAATACAAACTTAAGACTGTTTCAGAAAAATTCCCTTTGGTTTCAGTGAAGTCTTCTGCCTGCGTAAAGCCATGAAAGAAAGCAAAACGACTTAACGTACAGTTAAGAATCAAAGCAAGAATTTGGTTGAATACAGTGATGTGAAAAGACATCTCAGCTAATGCTTTGCACAGCACTTTCAAAGAGGCATTTGAACATAAACCCGCAGTGATGTATTTGCTATAGTAATATAGTGCTATATTTACACACAAAAACACCCCCACATGCATTGTGCACAGTTTGTTGGGCATAATGCTACACTATTCCTATCTGCTCGGGCAATTCTTCAGATATATTGTTTAAAAACAAAACAAAAACTGTCATTATGATCTCATTCTCTCTCTGTAAAGGAGTACAAACTTCACTGAATTCTGGGGCTGATCACAGCTTGTCACATTTGCATCCTCTGAATACACTGTGCTTTTTCCAAAGTGTCAAATAAAACACAGTAAACCGCAGGAAGTTGTCTTATGCTTATTTGTGGAACGTTTGTACTTTACTTACTTAGGCGATCCCTCATTGTCCAAGTAGGATAGTCTTCCAAGATCAGTGTACTGACGGTGGGTCCATAGGTGACTGTGGAGCCCTATTCTTGATCTGCATCTTCTCCCGCAGTGAGGGCATTGGTTTCCAGGTGGAAGGCGGTCCCAGTTGAGGTTGGATTGACATGCCTTCCTCTTGGGATGTTTCTCTCTTTCGCCCTCCATTCGTGCCTCTTCAAATTCTACAGCACTGCTGGTCACAGCTGACCGCCAGCTGGAGTGCTCAAGGGTCAGGGCTTCCCAGTTCTCAGTGTCTATGCCAGAGTTTTTAAGGTTCACTTTGAGCCCATCTTTAAATCTCTTTTCCTGTCCTCCAACATTCCGTTTTCCGTTCCTGAGTTCGGAGTAGAGCAACTGCTTTGGGAGACGGTGGTCGGGTATCCGGACAATGTGGCCGGTCCAGCGGAGTTGATGGCAGAGGACCATCACTTCAATGCTGGTGGTCTTTACTTCTTCCAGCACACTGACATTTGTCTACTTGTCTTCCCAAGAGATTTGCACGATTTTCCAGAGGAAGCGCTGATGGAATCGTTCCAGGAGTTGCATATGACATCTGTAGACAGTCCATGTCTTGCAGGCATATAGCAGGGTTGGCCGGACAATAGCTTTATAAACAAGCGCCTTGATATCCCTATAGATGTCCCGGTCCTCAAACCTTCATTAGGAAAAATGCTGCACTCGCAGAGCTCAGGCAGTGTTGTATTTCGTTGACTTTGGTGGAGAGGTGGCTGCCAAGGGTGAGGGGGGGGGGATGTACAAATATCTGAAATAAATAAATAAATAAATAAATTGACAAGACCTTAACTGACATAGATGAATGCTATGGATTTATGGAATTTGTAGTTTAGTTAGAGCTCATCACTCTTTGGGAGAGAAGACTAAAAAACTCATAAAACCACAATTGCCATAATTTCATAGCATAGCAGTTTTAGTGCAGTCAAATTGTATTAATTTTACCATATAGACGACCCTATGTCTCTTTATTCTGATACCCAGTGTGATGTAAACAATGCTAATACTCCTAGGGATGTTCCTCCATCTTTTTCTCTTCCCATGAGTGCTCTCTGGACCCTCCAAGATGTAGATAGGTCCAATCGGTACCCTTTCCTACCTGTAATGGAGTTTCTATAATAAAGCTTAATGTTTTTCTCCAAGCCATTGGTTTGTTTGCTCCTTAAATCTGTGGATGCTCAAGCCCCATTATATACAATCATATAGCAAAATGGTATCCTTTATGTAAACTAGTAAAATCAAGTTCGCCTTTTGGATTTCGGGGGAGATGGATTTAAACCATGAATGGTTGAATCTAAGGATACAGAATCAATAGATATGGAGGGCCAACTATACTCCCTTTGTATTTTTCTCCTTACCAAACTGGCCCAATGTCCTTTCCATTATTTAATCTTGAAGCCTTTTGGTTTAGCACTCCATCTTCCACCATCGGAAAGTTTCATGAGAGACTTGAGAAATGCCCCCAAGATGGTCTATCAGAACATTTTATACCAGACCTCAGAAAGAGGAATGGATAGAGAAAATCCTAGATATTATGAATATGGATAAATGGACATTTCTGATACAAAGATGAAGAATAAAAGTATGAAGATGATGGACTGGACTCTGCTGGAAGCCTAGATTAAAGATAATGATCTGAAATTATTTATTTAAAGAGACCAAGAAGGAGAAATAAATTTGAACCACCACCTGGGAAAGGAAAGGAATAAAAGAAGAAATAAGGACAATATTGCACAATCAAAACCCACTATGAAGAGGAATGGAAGCGAACACCCCATATCATACCCCGCTTTCCTATTTCCACCACCCCTCCCTGTGATCCACCCCCTTACCTCCTTTATCCCCCCCTTCCCCCCTTTTTTCTTTCCTTATTCAATACCCCCCTTCCTTTCTACTGTGGACTTACCTCCTTTTCCTACTCCCACCCCCTCCCCATACTCTTAATTTTTTTTACCCATCCATGTAAAAAAAAACCCTTTAATAATTTTTTTATATATATAAGAACATTTTATACTAGGGTGGGCAACATGTAGCCTTCCTGGTGACAACTCTTATCAAAGCAAGTTACAGGGGAAAGGATGATTGAGCAAATCAGAGATTACACTATGTAACTCAATATTTGTTCCTGGGTAATAAATGTTATTTCCTTATTGTTTATATGATAAAAACATGAACAAGTGTATTAAACTGCAAAAACTTTGTTTTCTCGAGACACCCTGCAGCACATTTTGCTATAGTTTTTCAATTAATGCCTCATTAAGTCTTGACCAATTCAACATAGTTGGTGGCAGCCATAAAAATGAACTTTCTGGAGTATAACAACTACTTTCAAGGTAAAGACTGCACAGTTAAACAGGAAATAACACTTTCAAACCAGGAACAGGTTTTTTAAAAGTTACATATTTGGCTGGAGAAGGCCAAATTCTTATAAAACCAGCATGTTTTTATGACTTTCCATTTTGTAGGTGACCTCTACACCCTTGCAAACATCACACCCAGCCCACTGTTACAAGAGGTAGGTTCCATCTACACTGTAGAATTTGTGTAGTTTGATGTTACTGTAGCTGCGGTGGCTTAATGGCACAGAGTTCTCTACCATTTGTAGTTTGGTGTAGTACCTGCACTCTTTTGGTGTGGTACCGGCACTGTTTGTAAAACTTCAACTCCCATGATTCTGTGGGATTGAGCTATGGCAACTCAAGTGGTGTAAAACTGCATTAATTCTACAGCGTGGATGTACCCCCCCCCCCCCACACACACACACACATACAAAGAGTAAGAGAGAGAATTGGACTCCTGGAATTCTCTTTCTGTCTCCATGTAGCCAACATCACCAAGGCTGAGGTCACAATGCAATGGGACGGTGAGTGCAGGATGACTTCAGGTCCCTTGGAAGGGAAGGAGCTGGCCAGGAAGAGATCCTATTGATCGTAGAGCCTTCCCTGGTAAAAGCGTCCACCAGGATTACTTGGGCAAAACTTTTCCTTGTGATCCTCCCAGCCAAATCTCTGTGGGGTGGCTGCGTTTTCCATATTTCCTTTTCTGAAGTGGGAGGGGAAGCAGAAAGGGCTATCAATTGCAGTCCTTTAAAAAAACTTTTCTTTTTCTCTCAGGGGAGTCACATGAGTCTAGTTTACACTGGTATATAATCCAGTTCAAAACAGAGAATCTGGATTTTATATGGCAGTGTAGAAGCGGCCTGAGAGCTGATTTCCAACTTTTTGCTCTCTCCTGTCTCCAACATGTTCTGATATTCGGTCTGCCAAGAGCCTAAACCAGGATGAAACTCAGGGAATCACACTGTAGGCTGGTTTTACACTGCCATATAATCCCATTTCTGAATCCATATTATCTGCTCTGAACTGGAGTATATGAGTCTACACTACCATGTTATCCTGTTCAAATCAGATAATTTGAATTCAGAAAATGGATTATATTGTAGTGTAGAAAAGGCTATAACCTTCATACAACTACATCTTGCTGGGTCTCTTGATTATTTGTTATGGTAGCCAAATTGTATTTCCATGTTGAGAGACAATGCATTACAATACTTGATAGTAGAGAGAAACTTAAGCTCCATCACACTGTCATATAAAATCCAGATTATCTGCTTTGAACAGGAATATATGGCAGTGTAGATTAATATAACCCAGTTCAAAGCCAATAATCTGGATTTCATATGACAATGTAGCCGGGACCTTAGAAAGCACCGTTATTGCTTTTAATTCCTACGCTTTTCAGCTTCTCAGACCTACAACTCCCAAATGACAAAATCAACCCCTTCCCACCCCACCAGTATTAATTGTTTGAGTTCATGGTGCTCTCTGGATGTAGGTGAACTACAACTCCCAAACTCAAGGTCACTGCCCACCAAACCCTTCCAGTTTGGTCATGGGAGTTCTGTGTGCCAAGTTTGGTTTGATTACATCGTTGGTAGAGTTCAGAATGCTCTTTGTTGGTAGGTGAACTATAAATCCCAGAAACTACAACTCCCAAATGACAAAATCAATCCCCCCCCAACCCCACCAGTATTCAAATTAGGGCATATTGGATATTTGTGCCAAATTTGGGCCATTGAATGAAAATATGTCCTGCATATCAGATATTTACATTATGATTCATAACAGTAGCAAAATTACAGTTATGAAGTAGCAACAAAAATAATTTATGGTTGAGGGTCACCACAACAGGAGGAACTCTATTAAGGGGTCGTGGCATTAGGAAGGTTGAGAAACCCTGGCTTAGACCAACTGGCTGCCAAGGCAATGCACAAATGATGAAATCATTTTTGAAAAAGAGTAAAGCAATTGTAATGCATTTTTAAAATCATGCAGCGCAAACAATCCAAAATGTGAAATTTGAGGCTAGTTGGAAGAGCCAAAACTCATGAAGAAGAATGCAGTGTTAAACCTCTGCCAAAAGGCCAGTAGTGCTGGATTCACTTGGGAATGCACCTTCCATACCCGGACTCTTTTATTCATCATAGGCTGGATCTACACTGTCCTTATATCCCAGGATCTGATCCCAGGTTATCTGCTTTGAACTGAATTATATGAGTCTACACTACCAGATAATCTGGGATAAACAGAAAATCTGGGATCAAATCCTGGGATATAGGTCAGTGTAGATCCATTCTTAGATGGTTCTGTGAAGACAGGAATATTTCTCCTATAATGTACCAACTTATGAAAAACAATGACTAATTAAAAGCACTGACAAGCTGAAACGTCACTATTGTTTGCACGGGATATTTTTTGAATAGTCTTATTAATGTTACTGCATAGATTCCATTATGATGTCTACTTTCTTTCAGCATAGTTTGTAATAGCATGAATGCCTTCCGGCGACAAGTAGATGAAAGCCACCCTTTGCTACCTGGATATACAGGTAATTATGGATAGTTTTGGCCATAGTGTTGAACCAATTTCTCAGCATGTAATTGTTGTTACGTACCGGTACTTTCAAGTTAGCTTTAACAGATACCTTATCACAAGGTTTTCATGAAAGAATTTATTTAGAGGCTGAAAAAGTGTGATTTGCCAAAGGCCACCAGGAAAGTCTCCATGACTGAGCAGAGATTAATTCCTTGGTCTTCAGGAATTTTGGTATTCAATATTCAAACAAAGATCCGCATAGTAAAAGCAATGATATTCCCGGTAGTCACCTATGGATGTGAGAGCTGGACCATAGGGAAGGCTGAGTGAAGGAAGATAGATGCTTTTGAATTGTGGTGTTGGAGAAAGGTTCTGAGAGTGCAACCAGTTCCATACTTCAGGAAATAAAGCCCGACTGCTCACTGGAGGAAAGGATATTAGAGGCAAAAATGAAGTATTTTGGCCACATGAAGGAAGGAAAAAGGAAGAGGGGCCAACCAAGGGCAAGATGGATGGATGGCATCCTTGAAGTGACTGGCTTGACCTTGAAGGAGTTGCGGGTGGTGACGGCCAACAGGAAGCTCTAGCGTGGGCTGGTTCATGAGGTCACGAAGAGTCAGAAGTGACTGAACGAATGAACAACAACATTTCGAAACATTATATCAAGCTTCCAAATGATGTTTAGCAGCTACTGCATAGGCTGCTTTGCCATCCCTGACACCCAAAATAAAAAGGGTTTTGCTTGGGTTTTCCCAAGGTGAATGCTTCTAGCATTGCAAAATCCCATTCTCTGTGACAACTGTCCAACAGAAATCATGTGTGGGTTAGCTTTCCTACTTGGGTGAAATTTACCTGGGCATGGATTTTGTCATGGATGCTAGGAAGGAGATTGAAGTTATTGCCACTCAATAAGCTCACATATTCTAGAACTGAGACCCCTCTTTACACTAACATATAATCCAGATTATCAAATCAGATAATCTACATAATCTGCCTTGAACTGGATTATATGAGTCTACACTGCCATATGATCCAGTTCAAAGCAGATAATCTGGATTTTATATGGCAGTATAGAAGGGACCTGAGTTATGACACTCAGATCTCAATAAAGGGAAGATTCTTTCACATTGTATAGTCAAACCAACCAATTTCTTGCTATTTTATATCAAAACAGAGGTAGGGAGTGTAGGTCCTTCCAGCTATTACACTCCAGCCATCTCTAACCATTGGTTGAGATGGTGGATCGTAGACTTGATAGATGCATCTTTATTTTGCTGAGCAACTATGTCCTTTTATTGTTATTTTTTTCTAGGCTACATTCCTCTTAGATTTTACCGAATTGGAACCAGCTATGGAAATGATTCTGTTTGGTGTGTCAACACATTTCGTGATGCAACTCAGCGGAGAAATGACCAAATGAATGAATTGAGATGTATAGCAGCTACAGACCCACAGCTACCACCCATCTGCTCCAATGAAGATACATTAAATGTACTTGATGACTATAATTACAAACATCATCCCAATATGCTGGGTATGGTATGCATCACTTCTAATGAATGTGGGGCTTAGCTAAATAGACTTCACTTTTCTTGGGGCAGACAGCATTGTTCTAAATTTTCCTATAGATGCTGCTTTGTTGCAGCATTCATGTTGTCAATGCCATGTTCTTGTGAAGGTAAGTAACATCGAAGGTTTCTGGGCAGGCCCGTAGCCAGGATTCCGTTTTGGGGGGGAGGGATTTTTTTTCAGGGGAGGGTTTGGGGGGGGGGCTGAGTTTCAGGGGGGGCTGAGTCTGAGTGAAAGAGGGTCTAGCCTAGCAAACCTTTTGTATCATTACCCCAATACCCCCATGCATATGGGATATATTGAGTATGGTGATCAGATCATGATATGAATAAACATTACAGTTTAAATAATGCACCAATAAGGCCTTTTTGCGAACCACCATGAAAATTTTGGGGGGGAGGGGCTGAAGCCCCCCCCCCCCCCCCCCCCCCCCCCCCCCCCCCGCCGGCTACATGCCTGTTTCTGGGAGTCTGATAATTGCTTATTCATTTCCAAAAAGCTTATTAGGTCAGACATTCTTAGCCACATTGCCTATTTGGAAATATATAGTCATAAACAATATTCACAGTTGCATGCAACAATAGTTTAATACATCTGAGGGCCCTTCCACACAGCCCTATATCTCAGAATATCAAGACAGAAAACCCCACATTATCTGAGTGTGGACTCAGATAACCCAATTCAAAGCAGATATTGTAGGATTTTCTGCCTTGATATTCTGAGATATAGGGCTTTGTGGGAGGGCCCTCAGTTGGCCATGTTGCAACATAACTATAAGCCTGAGAACTTTGCAATTACCCACTTACCTTTGGAAGCAGATTATCTCCCTGGTTAATTTATTATGTTTTCCAGATCTGCAAGGAGCTTGTATTCACACTTGCCGCTCTTCCAACAAGGCAATTTCTATGTTTTATTTGTGGTTTGGAAGTAGAGGACAGATCAGAGTGCAACTAATATTTGGTTTGGATGACACAATAAGAGTTTGTCAGTTCATGGTTAGTTTGATCACAGCTGATCAGGCAAATTCTACATGGTTCTATGGCATACTGTGTTTAGTCTCAGTCAATTTGAACATCTAGAATGTACGTACTTTCCAGGTTCACTGACGCTCAATAAGTGAACATAAGCAAGCAAGGCAAAGGTAGTTTATTGTGATGTTTGGCCTGGGATTAAGAACCATCTCTAATTCAGAATTGTCCACCACAAAATTGTTGTTACAGTTTAAGCTACAGAGCCAATAACCTGCAATCCCAGGTTAGACCATCCTTGCTTCTCCTTGGATGAATGAAGGATTGACAAGGAGCATATGTTAACCTCATTCACACTGTTGTTTTATAAACCAGGATTATTGTTGTGTGCATTCTTCTGAGGAGCAACAAACAAAATTTAAGTAAGAAGGTTGGATGGCTGTAAGAAACAATACCTAGTTCTGATGCAACCTTGTCACGTGGCCCTTTCGGGCTGTGCCATTTTGCCGGTGAAAGGGAAGGCCTGCAGGGTGGCTCATGGCACCCTGCATGCCCTCCCTCCTCCCCTCATCACATGGTGGGGATGGGAAAGAGTGTGTTGGCACCCTTTCTCTCCCCTCATCACATAGGAGAAAGGGTGACAACACACATTGCCCTGCCCCTCTTCTGCCATCACATGGGGATTTGGGGAGGAAAGTACAGGTAGCTCTGTTGGAGCTACCCAAACAACACTGTTCTACCTGTGGTGGAGGACAAAATGCCTTTTGGTGCTTCACCTCCACACTGGGAGAAAAGTGGGTGGGACCTGCCACGCATCGTGTCATGGTGTATAGCAGGTCCCGTCCAAGCTGTGAAATAAAGCAGCAAAATGAGGCATTTATCCCCATGTGAAGAGGTCCTTAGATTAGCTTAAAACGCCTGGTTACATTTCTGGTAGAAAGTTGTTGTTTTAATTAGGGAAGTGTTGCTTAATATCCATTTCCTTAACATTAATTTTAGTGTTCCTTATGAGAGCCTTCTGGGTTAGAATGGCATGTGGGAAGATGAAATCAAACTGAAAGGATGAAGGCGTTGCAGCTTTGCTGTTGCAAACAGGGAACAATAGAAATTGACCAGGCCATCAAATGCTAATCAAGGTGGTCAGTTGAAACATTCACACCTAGCTCCAGCAGACAAGAATCCTTTGTCCCACCCTGGTCATTCCACAGATATATAAATTATTTTTCCTCGTTCCAACAGACCTCACTACCTCTGAGGATACTTGCCATAGATGCAGGCAAAACGTCAGGAGAGAATGCCTCTAGAACATGGCCATATAGCCCGAAAAAACCTACAACAACCCAGTGATTCCGGCCATGAAAGCCTTCGACAATACAATGTATGCATCCTCCAATTCCGCACACTGGGCCTGTACATAAGACTGCAGGCAGGACATAAATTCTGTGTGCCCAATGGGACGCCGGTGCTGCCTCAGATTAAAAGCCTTTGGATTTCCTTAAACAAAGTCTTTAGATTGCTTAAAGGTTCAACAAAGTTCTTTATTATTGAAATCAAACAGGTACTTCAAGGCTTTCTTAATAGTCTATTGGCTCTCTCAATCTTGTCCACAGGGGACAGGCACTATCTTCATAACTGTATTTTGACTAATGGGGAAATCCTTAACCTCTTATCTGGGCACTCTGTCTTTGCCTCTGTTGGCGTGGAGCCCCTACACCCGGTACCAACTGCTTCTGGCTGCTGCAAGTGGCCCTTACCAAACAGAGTCCTTTGTAGACTTCCAGGGGGAAAGAAGGTGTTCAGGTTTCAGTGATGGCTGGCTGAAGTGCTGTGGGACTGGATTCCCTCAGCAAAGGAGCTGTAAGGCTGTAAAATCCTCAGCAAAAGAGCTGTGCTGAGACTGTATCTCTCTGGCCAAGCTATGGGCTGTATCTCCCCAGCCAAGCTGTGGGGCTGTATATCTCCCTGGCCAAGCTGTAAAAGACGAAGCTTTCTACAGGAGCTCCTGGTTTTATGTCCTGTATGAAAGACTTCTCTGTGTGGACTGACCCAAAATGGCTCTTATTCCCTCCAAAACCCAAAAAGGGGGCAGGACCAGGGAACCTAATGATAATTGACAGGTCATAGATCCAATAAATGCAAATTAAGGAAAGCCATCTAACTGCAAAAGCATAGAACTTTAAAATACATGCAGTAATCAACAAATAGCAAGATAAACTGGAGTTCCTGGTGCGGCTGTCCCAGAACACAGTCTCACATATGCATTGTTATTCTCATGCTTCAAGCCTTCATGGCAAATGAAAGGAAGAATGTATTCTATTTTCAGACACTTTGTGCCTCTGGGATAAGGTCTGACTTTTTGTAATGAACATGTCTCTCGTTTATTTTTCAGGACCTGTAGAAACAAGAAGGGATCTGCTGGAGCCACCCATACCAGGATGGACTGGCTTTGTGCCCAGGTCAAAGGTCACAGAATTTGGTCATGGAGTACGCTATCATACCATGGCAGAAAATTGCTACCAAGATTTTAAGAATTCTTTGGATAGGGTTCAGCGTGATTATACTATCCAGCAACCCATGTATGTTGATCCTAAGCTCTTATAATTCCTCTCCCTTCTCCTTCTTCTTTATTTATTGGATTTATATCCTCCTTTTCTCTCAAATGGGATGCAAAGTGGTCTATAGGAGAGTATGCTGACTTGAAGATAATATGCTCAGATTGAGGGCCCTTCCATACAACCATATAACCTAGAATATCAAGGCAGATAATCCACAGTATCTGCTTTGAACTGGACTATCAGAGTCCACGCTGTTTTATAATCCAGTTCAACGTGGATTGTATACCCCTGTGGGAACGGGCCTAAGATACTGAAACATCCTGATCATTAACAGTTAAGCTGAGAATAATATCAACTGGATAAATAAATGGCATTCATAAATATTTTTGCACACCCAAATTATATGGCCCAAAGTGATTTTTTAAAAAATGCTTAATTTAAAAAAAATACTGAGAATTAAAAACATGAAGATTTATTTGTTTTTTGTAATATAAGAAATTTAATGTTTCGGCTCCCACAATTCCTAACTGCTAGTAAAATGGCTGGGATTTCTGGGAGCTGAAGGTCCAAAATACCTGGAGGGGCAGAGTTTGAGAAACACTGTTCTAGAACATAAAATCCCTCGTATATAACAAATATTAAGTGCACAAATAATCTATGTCAGTGTTGCTCAACCTAGGAGTCAGGTCCCCTGGTGGGGTCGTGATAGGGTGTCAGACGGGTCATCAAAGACTATCAGAAAACACAGTATTTTCTGAGGTCATGGAGGTTCTATGTGGAAAGTTTGACCCCAATTCTATCATTAGTGTGCTTCAAAATGCTCTTTGATTGTAGGTGAACTATAAACCCCAGCAATTACAACTCCCAAATGTCAAGGTCTATTTTCCCCAAAACTCCACCAGTGTTCACATTTGGGCATATTGAGTATTCATGCCAAGTTTGGTCTAGATCCATTATTAAATTGACAATGCTCTCTGGAGGTAGGTGAACTACAACTCCAAAATTCAAGGTATTTTGTGTTGGTCATGGAAATTCTCTGTGCCAAGTTTGGTTCAATTCCATTGTTGGTAGAGTTCAGAATGCTCTTTGATTGTAGATGAACTATAAAATTCAGCAACTACAACTCCCAAATAACAAAATCTACCCCCCCCCCCCACCACCACCAGTTTTTAAAATACATCCTGCAGATCAGATATTTACATTACAATTGATAACAGTAGCAAAATTACAGTTATGAAGTAGCAATAAAAATAATTTTATGGTTAGGGATCACCACTACATGAGGAACTGTATTAAGGGGTCGTGGCATTAGGGAGGTTGAGAAACACTGATCTATATGGATGTCTGAGAAAGTGAGTTTTGCTTTCTGATATTTCGATGTACACGAACTTTGTTTCATGCACAAAATTATTTAAAGTATTTGCATAAAATGAACTTGTGGTTATGTCTGTAAAGTGTATATGAAACATGTGAATTCCATGTTTAGACTTGTGTCTCTTTTCCAAGATATCTCATTATGTAGTATTCCAAAATCTGAAAAAAAAATCCAAAATATGGAACACTTGTGGTTCCAAGCATTTCAAATAAGGGATACTCAATCTGTACCATAGTTTTTCACATAGGGGATACCCTTCCTTTTACTGTATCTTTGATATCTTCATAGTGTCCCATGGATACATGGAACCGGGGTCATAGGAATGTAGTCTTTGGTTGAAATCCTGTTGCAGAGTTGCAGTAGTTTTGGTGCTACACATTCAAACTCATCCTGAGCCTCTTCCCAATCCACACTTGTCGAAGCCATCTCTGATAGTAAGTGTGTGGAGAAGGAGATGTTAGAGGGGGCAGCATCCGAGTTGGAGTCCAGCAGTGCACAGCATCTTCCTTAGCTGAGCTTGGAAGATGAGCCTTAGGAGGAAGCTACCACTTCTCAGCCTGTACAGCAAGAATAAGCAAATACATCTGGGCAAGTGTTCTGGCTCTTTAAAAACTTGCGTAGAGAAAAAGCTCAAGTTCACAGGTCCACCCGATTAGCTGAAAAACTAACTATCAATAGGCAGCCACTGGAAACCTAGCAGAAAAGGTTCTCGGGAGTTTCAACTTATTGCCTGTAGCAATGTTGGCGTTTGGAGCTGTGGCCTTGGATTGTATGTGATCTTGGAATTAATGAACTTCTGACTATCTCTTGGAACTTGGCATTTGGATTTTGGATTGATCTTGGACTTTGTTATCTGCGGAAACTAGCTTTTGGATCTCAGAACGAACTATGGACTCATCTTCAATTTGTGCCTCTTTAGGTGGAATCTTTGGTTTGAACTTGGATTGCTTGCTGTTTTGATGAACCTTCTGTTTGGAAGCTGGGTCTTAGCTTCATGACAACACTGCTCAAGAAGTGATTGATGGAGTGGGGCTATTTCTCTTTCACTAGGGAAGCACCTGATTGACATTCCCACACTTTCCCATAAATGCTTTCTAGTGCAATGGGCAAAAGCAGGAATCCTGTCACAGCCTCACCAAACTACAAACACATTTCCCCAGCACCAGATAAATTCAAAGGCAACCCGTTTCCACAAATTAATGTCAAATAAACCCTGTGAGAGGTTTCCCATAAGTCATAAATGATATGAAGACAAACAACAACAAGGAAGCTCAACTAAAGATGCTCAATATTTATTAAGTACTATTACATTCATGCTTCAAGCTGCTTCTAATTTTGTGCCTGTAAAATGTGTGGTCTATGAATTTGTGACCTTTTTTGTTTTACTTTGTTGTTATTAGATATCCCAATTTGATTGTTAATCCTTTCCATTTCCCCTTTTTCCTTATAGAATGTTATCTTTTCATATATGTTAAAAAAATGTTAGGTTGTTTGTGTAGCCTGTTCTCCTGTGGTGTTCTTAAGATCCTTTGATCATGTTGTGTGAGAGGCCTTTGACTTGGTAGGAAGGGAGATGAAACATAGAAAGCCCACATACAAATTCCAAATGTTGATTTAGATCAGAAGTCAGGAATGTGTGGACCCCAGATGTTGCTGGAGTGGAGCACTAGCCAGTGTAACCAGTGGAGTGGGAGAGTACAAATTTTCATCCAACAATATCTTACGGGGTGACATCCATCCATGTTTTAAGTGGAAGCTAGAGACAGTTAATGCTCTGTAGTATATTTCCCAAAGTCCCCAAGTGTTTCAAACTCCAGTTTTCTGCCTTGGTTGTAGTTGTCAGATAGATGTTTTAACCATTTCTTGGTCCAGACCATGTTATGTTGATTGCAAAGTGAGGATGTCATAAGGTCTGCCAACCTTTTTTTTACTATTAATAACTAGAGCCCTTCGGGACACCATGGGTAACCATACATTTAATTCTGATTTTGAGGACTTGGAACATAATTCACCATCAGATTAATTTTTTGGTAAAAAAAAATTAAAACACACACAAATACATACACAAGCAATACAAGATGGCAGAATGGTTCCACCTTAAATTTTAAGTCAACAATCTAAGGAGAGGATTCAACATCATCATCATCATCGTCTTCATCATCATCATCATCATCATCATTATTATTTGAAATACAAGATTAGTACACAACAAACAAGATCACTCTGCTGTCTGTTGTACTGGATCACACGTTGGACACTTCCCAAGTGTCTAGGACTGTGTGATGTATCGCCAAATAATGCGTGCAGATCCCAGTAGGGTGGCCTTTTGCAGCTGACAGATGGTAATTTTGTCAGTGCCAACTGTGTTTAAGTGCAGGCCAAGGTCTTTAGGCCCTGCACCCAGTGTGCAGATCACCACTGGAACCACCTTTTCTGGCTTGTGCCAGAGTCTTTGCATTATTATTATTATTGGGTTGTTGTAGGCTTTTCGGGCTGTATGGCCATGTTCTAGAAGCATTCTCTCCTGATGTTTCGTCTGCATCTGTGGCAGGCATCCTCAGAGGTTGCTGTTGTTGTTGTTGTTGTTATGCTTATTTATACCCCACTTTTTTCCACAAGGAGAGACACATAGTGGTTATATGTTCACACTGCATACTGTTTTTCCTCTACTAAAATATTTCTGCCATTCACTGACTGTAAAAGCAAGATGTCTACTTCATCAAAGAGCAGGAACTGACAAGGCAAAACTTCACTTGCTACCTCATCTTACCTGAACATTTATGGACTTTTGTTAGCTGTAGACAAGACAAATATTCAAAGGGTCTAGTCTTTTTATTATGTGGGCAATTCCTTTCTCTCACATAGCTGTCAAAGGTCCAGAGTTTTTGTTAGAAGGGAAACATCCTTGGTAAAATTGGCTGAATTAATTGAAGCCCATCAGCAGAAGCAGAGAACCTAGTTTTAAAAAAAATAGGGCAAGATCTTCCCATGTAATGGAGGGTATATCTTAACCAAATACTGTGTAAAGCAGGAGACTTCATGTGAGAAGCTGTCCTATGTACATAAAAAGCAAGGATCCTAAGAATTGTGAACCACTTCCAGGGATGAGGCCGGGTGTTGAAAGGTGGCAGGTCCGACAGCTTAGAGGTCGAGTGCTTGTTTGGGCAGGAAGCCTGGTGACCTATGTCGGAACTCCCTATTATGCTGCACTTGAGGAGTGAAGTCCTGACAGATCGGGCTGGACGAAGGGATATGGCCTTCACCTAGGCACAACAAACACATAGTGTGGCCATTGGAATCTGGGAGTTTACTTCCGCAGGCTGTATACTTCTTGAAAAAGGATGTGGATGACATCTCAACAATACGAACTAGCCTGAAGGTGTTTCAGTAATCATCATCACAGAGGTCCGAGTCAGGGCTGGTGGGAGACTGGGGCAGCGTAGTCTTAAAACAGTCCAAGTAAAGTCAAGAGAATAGCAAAAGAAGCAAAACGATAATCAGAAGCAGTCCGAGTCAAGCCGTTAGAGAAAACTATTAGAAATAGCTACAAGAGAGACGAGAGGTTCCAAACTGCTGCTATTAGCAGCGGAAAAGAGGAACTGAGGCTCTGCCTCCTCCCAGGGGCATTTATACAATATGGAGAGATTGAGTAAGGCTGGTTACTGCCAAAATGTTTCAAGTTAGAGATTTGGAAGGTTCCAAACTACACCGCACATGCACAGATAACCCTTATGTATAAATTTCACAGATCACTACTCAAAGAAACACAGTTATAGGTGAGCAACTCATTCTTTTGAAAAATAGGGCAATACTTTCCCATGTTATAGAGGATATATCTTAACCAAATACTGTATAAAGCATCATATAGTAAACTACGTTGGAAAATATGAAATACTAAGACATGAATGATGTCCTTTTCTTTCCATTTTAGTAAAGAAATAATAATAACCAAACCCAAAGAACCTCATCCACACCAGCGATTCTATAGACCAGAAGGAATGTTACCCAAGTATACAGGACACATTCCACGTAAGTGTACAGGATTTTATTCTTTGAATGAGACTGTTTACCAAGATTGCTTGCTACAATATACATGGTTCTCTTTTGAGGGTAAACAATGAATCAAAATAGATAGGCAGCTGCTTCTCAATTTTTCCTGCATTCTTTTCCTTCAAGGCATCCCTGCCCTTGCCTTGAACTTTAGCAGCATCAATCCAGTTGCTCTAAGACTGCTCCAACTTTTAGGAGATGTACTCCCCAGCTATCTACATTGCCATACTAGTGGCAGCGGTCAATCTCCTTTGCAGATTAGCAGTTTAGGAAGGAGGCGTTAAAATTCTTCCCCAGAGCAATGACAAACTCCAGATTTCCAAAGGATGGACTTGCATGAGTTAAAGTGGAATAATACACTATAACTGCTGTGTAAGTGAACCTCATGTGTACAAGATTGGTACATGAAGATTATTAGCCTTCTGAGGTAGGCCATTGTGTGAAAACAAATTAGGTGGGTGATCACATAGTAAATTATATCTTTCAAGAATCAGCTTGAGTTAAACTCTGGGATACATATTTGATAAAATATCTAAGTGCGTGAGTATTCCTATGAGTATATGCCTGATAATAGAAATGGCATTAATTGAGCATGCATGTCAAAGATAATCTCTCAGTGTCACACTTCTCTTTTCTTTCTGCTGATTTTAAGTGCTGTGCTACCCTACATTGTTGCATTTTAATGATTTTATCCACCAAGGGCATTGTTAAACTGTAGGGCAGCCTGCAAATAGTTTAAGTGTATAAATATAAATACATGACATTGAGATGAAACAGTTAATGCCAAAATGCTAGGAAGACAGGCAGAATGATTGTGCCTGACCGTGCTTTGAATGTATTCAAGTCCTTGAGTGTTTGCGCAGCCCCAGTATATAAACTAATCTCTTTATTGCAATTATTGAGGACATTTGGCATCATTTCAAAAACTCATTGCAAGTGATTCAAACTTCTGGCACCAGCAATCTTTCTTTTTCACAGTAAATTACTCAGTGGGGAAGAAGAATGGGCAATGGATGAGCCAGAAAGGGGATAGTGCAGTGGTTCTCAGCCTGTGGGTCCCCAGATGTTTTGGCCTTCAACTCCCAGAAATCCTAACAGCTGGTCAGCTAGCTGGGAGTTCTGGGAGTTGTAGGCCAAAACACCTGGGGACCTATAGGTTGAGAACAACTGAGATAGATAGTGTGTCCATATATAGTTCTTCCTTTTAGTGGTTTCAGCCCCATCCACCTCTCTTACATGTGGCTTCAGCATGTGGCCTTCTGCACCAAAAGATTTTCCTAGATCACATACGTGTTCAGTTCTTGTACAGCTTGTGGTCATGAAAGGATCTCAGCATACATATGAATAAGGGTAAACCATGGATGGGAATCGTGAAGCCTTCCAAAAGTTGTTGGTCTGCAATTCATAGCAGCCATATCCAGTAGTGAGAGATTATGGGAGTTGCAAGTCAGCCTTAAAGGGAGTAATGGGAATTTCAAATTTCAAGAAATGAGTGGTGGTGATTTTTCCAACATGGAGGTTTGTGTTTCCTGAACTGTTCAGCAGTTCAGTTTTCAAACAATTATAATATATATGGGGAACTTTGAACCAAATGAAAGTTTCAGGGGAAAGGTAATCCAACACACCTGAACAGCCAAAGGTTTCCCATCCCTGACCTACAGATTTGAGGCATAATACTAATTATACACACCAAGTTGTTACATCAGCACTACACTGTTATTGCTATTTGATCCCACTTCAGATCGCAACCTTTTGGAAAGGGCTTTACATGTAGATGGTTTGGAAACAGGAATCTTGTGAGCAAAACATAAACATGTGTGTATCCATAGTTCTCTGTCAAAAAAAATATAGCAGACTCTATCTTCTGTTAATTCAGCACTCTCCCTTAGATTTAGATGTTAATGATGAAATTATAGCCCTCCCTAAAATCAGACATTCTGAACTTTTCCAAGCTGTGGCTATTACAACTTCTAACCATGATGTTTCAGAGCTAAAGGACCTTTACTTCTACCAAGGGATGATGGCTCAGAATTGCTACCCTATAGCATATGATTCTTACTCCATACAGTAACTTTTTGGTCTGAGTCTCTTTCCCTCCCCACCTCACTCACTTTGATCCCAGCGGACAGGTGTTTCCACCTTCTTAGGTGATTGCACTTGACATTTGCCTTCCAACATTAAAACAAATGCTTGTGTCTTGTAGATGAACGTTCTGGCATTGGAAAAACCTTTGGGAATGTGTGCAGAAGCTGTTCTGTTTGTAATCACTCTGATGTGAGTTATGGAGCTTATCTTAAGAAGAAGCACAAGGCTGAAGCAGTTCAAGAGTCTATCAAGGAAGATGAGAAAGCCTTACCTGCTTCATGTTTCGAAAATGAAAGTAGACAATAAAAAACATGTAGTAATATTGAATATGAGCACATTTTAAGCCTTCTATATTTGCTCATCTTCATATGTTCAGTTGTAAGTATTTCAATCATGCTGCTTTTCTTGATATTTTGGCTTGCAAAGTTAGGTGCCATGATACTTTATGTAATACTTTATAAGTTGTGAAGTCGTCTAGACCAGGGCTTCTGAAACCTTTTTACTCTGAACCCCTTTTGGCTTGAGAAATTTTTATGGGACTCCAGATATATAGGTACCATATATACTCAAGTATAAGCTGACCCATATATAAGCCAAGGTACCTAGTTTTACCACAAAAAACTGGGAAAACAAATTGACTCAAGTATAAGCCGAGGGTGGGAAATGCAGCAGCTACTGGTAAATTTCAAAACAGGAATAGATACCAATAAAATTACATTAATCGAGGCATCAGCAGGTTAAATGTTTTGAATATTTACATAAAACTGTAATTTAAGATAAGTCTGTCCAACTCTGATTAAATCATTATTTTTCTTCGTGGTCTCTGCGAATGCACACTTGTGGAGAGACTGCGCCTGCGCGGGCTCCAACGGAAACTTCTACATTTTAAAACTTTTGAAGTTTTGGCGGTAACCCCGCCCAGCCCCGGCAGGGGATAAAAGGGCGCCCCGCGCACACCGATCCAATTCCTTTTTTTCCACCGCACGGCTCGCTTCGGTACTTCTAGTTGGATAGTGATATAGTGATTGTAGTGATTCTTCTTAGAGTTTTTTCCTCGAGTTGTTGACTGGATTATGTCAACAACTCGCTTCAAAAGATGCGCGAACTGTCCGAGGAAGATCCCTGACTCGGACAAGCACGCTCTTTGCCTTTTGTGTCTCGGAGAGGCACACATTACCTCTTCGTGTCGTCATTTTCAATCTTTGACGGCACAGTCCCGTAAGAACCGGGTCCATCGACTTCGATACCTGCTGTACCAGCAGGCGTTGGCTCCGGTACCTTCAACATCGACATCGGCGTCGACGTCAGCCGCGGTATCCAGGCCTTCGACATCGGCTTCGACCTCGAAGGCATCGACAACAACATCTGTCGATCCCTCGGCGGAGGCCGGGCCTCGCCAAACAAGGGCGAAGAAGGCCGCGCAGAAGAGGCCGAGAGCAGCTATGTCGACAACTTCGAAGGCCTCAGTGTCGGCAGCCTCTAAGGCTACGAAGCCTACAAAACAGAAGGCTCCATGCACGGTCACCACTGAGACCGTACGCATCCGACACTCGTCGACCAGCTCCGTGGCGTCGGTGAGATCGATCAGGTCCACGAGGTCGACGTCGGCGACTCCGCCATCTTCCACGGCGGTTCGCATTGCCTTTCACCGGTCTCATGAAGAGTCTCGGCGTGCCTCCACCTCATCCTCCGTCCCGCCCACCCCGGGCAAGTCGGTGTCGAAGTCTGCTCAACTGCCGGCAAAGAAGAAGAAGGCGATGCCGCCTCCGTCCTCCTCTTCTTCTTCTTCCCGGAAGCAAACCACCGCCTCCTCGGCCACCTCGTCGGCGAGGTCATCGCTGTTGCAGCCTGCAGAGCCCCAACTGGCCCCGCAGCCGGTTCAGGAGCCGCAACCCTTGCCGGAGCAGCCTTTGGAGCAGCCCGTGTCCCCGGTGATCTCGGTGGACACGGTGATCGAGGCACCAACCCGCCATGTGACAGCCAGACAGGAGCTTTTCCCGTCGGCCATGACTTTGACTACTGTGACAGCCAGACAGGAGACGTCTCCAGTACTGGAGACCCCGGAAAGGGGCAGACAGACTATGAGGTTGGCCCGTGCCATTCAGGCCTCGGCCTCGAAGGCTCCACCAGTGGCTCCTCTGCAGCTTTCGACTCGGGATGTTTCCTCATCCCCTCCTCCCCAATCCCTGGCTGCTGACGATGAAGAAGAGGATGGCGAGTTACCGGGATCGGTACACTCGGGATCGGTGTTGTCTCTCGGGATCGAGAGATTGCCTACCCATGATGCCTATGAGGCGGATCCTCCATCTCCCACTGACAATGTCCGAGCCTTTGCGGATCAAATGGCTCGCATGGCTGAGGCTTTAGGCCTGGAGGTCAAGCAAACTACCAAGGCAGTGCTAGACCCAGTGTTTAAGAGGGTGCAAGCGGAGTCCCCACCCGCTCCTCTCCTACCCTTCCTTCCCTACCTCCTGGAGGTGATCCAAGAATCTTGGAAGACCCCCTCCTCCATTCCTCCAACCTTCAAGAAAATTGAGTCCTGGTACAGAACGGACGATGAGGGCTTGGAGTGGCTGAAACACCATCCCGACCTTAACTCGGTCGTTGTGAAGGCAGCTCAGGGGTTCAGAAGGCAGTCGTCGGCGCCGTCCGACCGCGAAGGGAAGAGGTTCGACGCAGTGGGCAGGAAGCTTTACTCCGGTGCCCTCTTGCTGGCCCGCATGGCGAACTACGGGGCTTGTATGGGAGCATACCAGCAGATCCTCTGGGAAAAAGCAGAACCCTTCTTCCAGAGGATGTCTGCAGAGGATCGTGCGGCCATGACCACCTTGGCTCAGGAGGCGAACTCTCTGGCGCATCATCAGATGCAGATGGCCAAGCACACGGGAGATACTGCGGGCAAGATGATTGCTCACGCCGTGGCAATCAGAAGACATGCCTGGTTGAGATCCTCTGGCCTCTCTACATCATCGAGGCAAGTGATCGAGGACCTCCCGTTCGATGCCCTGGGACTCTTTAACGCCGGGACGGACGACAAACTGAAGTCAAATCACGACTTCAAGACCTTAGCCTCAAAGTGTGGGTTCGAGAATCAGAACCAGGCACAGAGAACCAGATGGTTCCAATACAAACGCCGGCACACGGTCCCGTACCGTACCATACAGTACCGCCATCCAGTCCGTCCCCTGCAGACCTCCCAGCAAACCCACCCTCAACAACCCCAACAACAACGGAGGCAGCACCAGCAGCAGCGTTCGCGCTCTCGCCAGGCTTCAGGAGGCAACCAGGCCAGGCGCCGCATTTGACGCCCTGGCGGACGATACCGTTTGCAGTTTCGTTACCGATGTTGTTCCCATGTCCCTCCCAATGGTACCCGCCCTCATCCTTCCATCCGGCTCGACACCGTTCGGAGATCGCCTGACGAACTTTCTCCCTGCATGGGAAAATATCACCTCAGATGCATGGGTTTTAAAGATTGTCGAAGAAGGCTATGCATTGGAGTTCGAAGAGCTCCCTCCAACAGGCCAGATTGTCGATACCGGGCCATCCTCGGCGATCATGGCAGAGGTCGAGACCTTGCTTCTGAAAGGGGCAATTTCCCCTCTTCCGGACTCTCAAAACCATCGAGCCTTCTTCTCCAGATACTTTACTGTCCCAAAGCCGGATGGCTCCCTTCGCCCCATCCTTGATCTCAGAGACTTAAACTCCTTCATCGAACCTCGAAGGTTTCGGATGGTGACGGTATCGTCCATTCTCCCCTTCCTCAGATACGGGGACTTTTTCGCGTCCGTCGATCTCCGGGACGCTTACTTCCATCTTTCAATCAGAAAACATCACAGACGCTTCCTGGCCTTCAGGGTAGCGGGACAGACGTACGTGTTCAACGTCCTCCCCTTCGGTCTCGTGACGGCACCGAGGACCTTTACAAAATGCATGTCGGTGGTCGCAGCGGCCCTCAGAAGGGAAAAATCCGCATTTTTCCTTACTTAGACGACTGGTTGTTGGCAGCACGCTCCCCGGACCTCCTGCGAGTGCAGGTGGCAAGGACACTCTCCCTCCTCGAGGACCTGGGCCTCCAGTTGAACGAGGAGAAATCCCAGCTCGAGCCCACCACTTGCATAAAGTTCATCGGCGCCATGTTCGATTCTCTCTCCCAGACAGTCTTCCTTCCGGAGGAGAGATTCAGGGCTCTTCGAGCCGAAGCACTCAAGGTGCGTCGCTCCCGAGTGGTCCCGGCGAAGCAGATACAGGTCCTCCTCGGGCACATGGCCTCCACGGTGATGGTGACGCCGTTGGCAAGGCTCCGCTTCCGCCCCCTCCAGAGATGGTTCTTGGACCACTTCAACCCCATGCGAGACAGCGCCGCAAAGCGCCTGTCGGTACCGAGGTCGGTAAAGGACTCGTTGAACTGGTGGATGAACCGCCAGCATGTCTGCAAAGGCATTCCTTTTCACCCAGAGCCCCCAGCCGTCACGATCACGACGGACGCCTCGATGTTCGCATGGGGATGCCATACAGGAGAACTCTCGGTACACGACCTCTGGTCTCCTCAGGAAAGACAGTTCCATATCAACTACTTGGAACTACTAGCAATCTTCAAAGCCCTGAGGGCATTTGCCCTCCTGGTTACGGGGAAGTCTGTCCAGATCCTCACGGACAACATGGTGGCAATGTTCTACGTGAACAAGCAGGGAGGAACGGGCTCGAGAAGACTTCTCAAGCTGTCACTGGAACTCTGGGACTGGTGTGTAGCCAGGTCGGTGTCGATAACAGCCTTACACCTCCCGGGCGAGGCCAACGTCGAGGCAGACATGCTCAGCAGAACCAGGGCAACATCCCACGAGTGGAGGCTGAACCCCGACGTACTGGCGGAGATCTTCAGGGAGTGGGGCCTCTCGGCCGCAGATCTCTTCGTGTCGCCGCAAAACGCTCAGCTTCCTCAGTTCGGTGCTCGACTTGCTCCGAACACGGTACCGGGGTGTCTCGGAGACGCGTTCCTGTTGGACTGGTCGAAGCATCTGCTTTACCTCTTCCCTCCCTTCCCGCTCATCCCGAGGGTGATCGAGAGGATCCAGTCGGCGCGAACAGACTGCATCTTGGTGGCGCCGGAATGGCCACGACAACTGTGGTTCTCTGTCCTACTCCAGTTGTCCGAGGGGCGGATGAAACGCCTTCCACTTCGGCAGGACCTGCTCTCCCGGGAAGACGGTCAGCTTCTCCACCCCGACCTCGCTTCTCTGCATCTTTCGGTGTGGAGGATCCGGTGTTGAGATCCCTGTGTCCAGGAGTTCTTCCAATCCTGGAAG